AATGCATCAGTTTTAAGTGATAAATGTTAGATCTTTTTTTTTTCCTTTTTCAGTAGGTTTAGGAAAAAAACCCTACATACTTGTCATGTCAGTGGGAGGAGTCACAAATGAACTTGACTTGACCTTTCAACCTCACTGAGCTGCTTAAAGCTGGCAGTGGCAGAGGTTTGTAAAGACTGAAACTTGAGCTGAACCCAAACACTTCCTCAAGATGAAGTGTGCTGAAATGGCAAATTTGGTCTGCGTGCAGTAGGACATCTCACTTTTCTCCAACACCTCCCTTCCAGGACTCAACAAAAATGAAGAGCAGGGAGAAAAAAACTCCTTTCTCCACTCAGTAGACAGTCAGTTATTTTAGCAATACCTAAGTTTATCCAATGGAGAGCGTACTGGTTTTGTCTGAGGTTGAGTTAATTTCCTTCAGAGTGGGTGGTATGGGGCTGTATTTTGTGTTTGAACTAATATAGAGTTGCTGTGCAGAGCTCACACAGAGCCAAGGCCTTTTCTGCTTTTTGCTTGCCCACCTTGAAATCAGGAGTGTCATTTGCTTTCCTGCAGCCTTTAGGCACTTCTGCTAATCACCAAGATAGATTATCCAGAGTGACCTCATAGTGCCACTCCCTCAGAACTTTATGAGTGTATCCCTTCAAGGCCTGTGGACTTTTGTGTGTCCAGTTTGCTGAAGAACTCCTTGACCTGTTCCTCTTCCATCAAGGCTATGACTGCCTTGTTCCAGACTTTCTTCCTGCTCTCTGTGCCCTAGGTTTCCTGAAGGTCTTACTACCACTGTTAAAAAACTCAGACCTTTCCATGTCATGTGCTACCAGGGCTCTAACCCAATTCAGCATTGGCTCCACATTTTCCTTCTCCTTGAGCATGGAGAAGAGAAAGCTCTGGGGAGAGCTCATGGCAGACTTCCAGTACTTAAAGGGAGCTTATGGAAAAGAAGGAGAGTGACTTTTTTACACAGGCAGATAGTGATTGGACAAGGGTGAACAGTTTTTAGCTAGAAGAGGACAGTTTCAGATTAGACATTAGGAAGAAATTCTTTACTCAGTGTGGTGAAACACTGACACAAGTTGCCCAGAGAAACTGAGAATGATCCTTACAGGGAAATGTTCAGGGCCAGGTTGGACAGGGCCTTGAGCAACCACATCTAATGCATGGAATCCCATCCCGTGGCAGGGGTTTGGAACAAGATGACCTCTAAAGCTCCTTCCAACCCAAACCATTCTATGACTGTAAGATTCAATCCCATTTAGGCTTTGACTTCGCTAACCTCATCCCTGGTTGCTAAGACAGTGTCCCTTGTTCCTCCCAGGTTACTTGTCATTGCTTCCAGTCTCTGTATGCTGCCGTTTTGAATTTTGCCAGAATTTCATTTTTATCCCTTCAGTCCTCCCAGAATATTTACCTGGATTATTATTCCATCCTAACCATGCATCTCAATAAAGGTAAACAGTAAAATTACTTGTTATTTCCTGTATAGTTTCACATGTCTGAGTCTTACACACTAGATCTCTGTCAGCTAAAGATTAGATACTTCTGGCCTTGAAAAAAGCATGTCTAGGTATCTCAAGAATGAAAAAAAATATTCTGAGAATAGCTGAGAGATACATTTGTGATACTTATATTGGAGAAAAATAATATAAATGAGCACAATGTAATATATATAGGAAAAGCAGCCCTAGCTATCAAATATAGTGATGGGCACTATTCAGATCTCTGTTGGGGCAGTATAAACACTGCACAGTATCAGATCTGGGGAGGAGGAAGGTAGCACTAGAAATTATTAGAGATAATATCAAAGCTAATTAGAACTAAATAATTATTTTCATACGTGAGTTAAGATAGGTTAGTACTATTTGCCATGTTATTTAGAAAGATATTGTTGACTTTTTTTATTTTGGGAAGAAATAAGGATTTACAAGGAAATAAGTACCACCAAAGTAAAGAATTTTTCAATTAATTAATTTAAACTACAAATATCATTGTCAGAGAGCTCTTTTTGCCAAAATCTAAAACTGGTCTTCAATTGATTACATCAAACAATCTGGCAGACTCTTGAACCCACTCATGGATCCTTCTATGAATCTCTGAACTCAGGATTTCCAGAATATCAGAAGATATGCGAATTAATGTTATTTTATATTTCTATCCAGAGATGGAATACAACTTCAAGAGCCGTTAAAATGGCTCAAGATGGCTATTCTCCCTGATATATTGCACTATATTATGTTACAACTGACAGAAGTGAAACAGAGTAATATGTAATAATCTGACTAAGGTAAGCAATGCAGACAACAGTGAAATCCATGTATCATATCCAAGATCTGTAAGTAGAGAGCTCTGTGAAAGGATGACTGTCATCAGACATATGATGTCCTCAGAAAAAGTTGAAGTATGCATCCAAATGTCACTGTGCTTGCCCAGGGAATGGTTGTCTCTTGCTCCCTTAGCTCAGATTCATGGAGCATCCATGGCCTTACAGTTATTAGTGGTTACCCTCATTCCTCTAGTCATCATTAGCTGTATTTCCCTCCTTAGGAATCTTCTCATATTATTTATAGGCGATTTATTCACATAGCTAGGAAGAGACCAAAATTTTCTAATTATATCTAGTAACATCACTTTCCAATTTTCAGTACATTCAGTTTGCCAGACAATGCTTTGCCAAAAACAAGGTTTGCCAAAAATGCTTTGCCCAAAGACAGAGGAGGCATCTGCAGCATGCGCTGACCATACCCTATAAAAGAGTCCTTGAATCTGGGCTGTTCTGTCTGCAGAGGAAACTTCATGGTAAGTGCACGTCTGTGGTTGGCAGAAAGGGACAGTGTCCCTGCAGTCCCACTTCAGCCCTGCTGTACCTGGAAGGACTTGATATCTGTATGATAAAGCATGTTGGTATTTTCACTTTGTGACCGGTCTGTGGAATTCTGTGCAGCAATAATGAGAGATCTGCTGTTTCTGCTTCACAGCACCGATCACCTCCCAGCCTGCAAGGCATCTTCTCACAGCATAAGAGGTAAGAGCCACATTTGCTCGGATTTAAGGGGCAGAAAAAGGTGGAAGATTTCTGTAGAACAGATTTCTTCATGGTGACAAATTACTGCAACATTTTGTAGGCAATTGCTGTATGCCCATGTGTTCCTAGCCACTGCTCTGCTATGACAAATTAAAGCATGCTGATGGCTGGGCAGGCTGCTCACAGCCAGCAAGGTTTCCTAAGTGGCTGTGCTTGAAGACACTAACCACTATGTAATGCCAGGAAATGCTTCCTGGGGATTCCTTATGTTTAATTATGGAACAGTGAGGTAAATGATCTGTTCTGGCATGAACTCCAGACAGACAGAGTTAGCCAACAGAACAGAATCTTGCAAAACCTACAGACTTGTGAATTGTAATTATTATTGCATGTGAAACTGGCCAATAAATGTTATGAAAATTCTTTCCAAATGATACTCCAGGGTTATAATGTACATGTGGGCCTCCTACAAGTAAACTTGATAAAAAAGCAAAAATATCTATCCAACTAACCAAATAACAAGAAGGGAGATGTACTACTCTTATTATTCTGAAAGAAGAGTAAAATGGAGGATATGCATGCTACTAGGAGTAGCTGCAAATGTTTGTTAACATTTTGTTATTTACCTAACTAAAATTTACAATATGACATCAAGCTGCCTAACTTCCTTGGAATTCTGGTACTTTCTATTACTGGTCACATGGGATTTCTTTGGAAATCCAGTACTGCACTTAGATATCTGGCTTTGATTTATAAATTCTTCAACTGAGGTTTCTAGCTTTGCCTACAGTTATTTCCACAAACAATTGACATGAGAAGAAATAATTGGTTGTGCAGTATTTTAACCTGATGAATTATGTGTCCTCACATGCCAGTTCCTCACATACTACTTAAGTCATTTGGGATGAGAAGCAAACAAATCTAGTGACTGATTCAGAGCATCAGCAAGAGATATTATGCCCTAGATAGTCCTCAGAACACCTTCTGGATCACTAGCAACCCAAATGATGCATGGAATGCATCCTCAGGAACTGTAGAAGACAACAGAGACTTGCAATTATGCTACAGAGCAATGCTACCCTGGAAAAGATCCTCATAAGACTTCGTCCTGAAGCTGATAAGAGGCTCACAAATTTTAGAAAAGGCAATGTAAAATCCTGCATGTGAGAAAGAATAGTCCCATGCAACAAAGTACGTTGTATGTCATTTTGGCTAGAAAACAACTTAGCAGAAAAGGGTCATAAATTCTAGTGTGAGTGTCACAGTGTGCCTTTGGAGAGAGGAAGGTCAGCAGCACATTTTCAGACACTCGTAACAGCAGGTCAGCAGAGGTCAGCAGGTAAAGACAAGTGATTCTTTCCCTGCATTCGGCTCTCATATCTAGAGCACTGTGCTCAGTTTGGTGCTTTCTGGTGACCAGAGAGTGATATTCTGGAATGAATCCAGTGCAGATCTTTCAAGATAAATAGGAGAAAATTATGTGTGAGAAGAGGCTGCAATGGTGATGTTTGTCTACACCGGGGATGAAATTAAATGTGTTTATCTTACTGTTATCTTCAACAAAAAGAAGATGGCTATATCATAGAAAGAGTCAGACTCTACTCAAATGGACAGAATGAAAGGCTGAGGAATAAAAAGACAGGTTTCAGCCGCAGAAATTTTGATTAGGTAAGAAACTGGGAAGAAAATCACCATCAGGGTCATCAGACACTAAGCTGGGATGCAGAGGGACTAAGAAATGTCTGTTCTTGGACATAATAAAAACTTGACTGGAAAAAACTGTGGGAACCTGAATCCAACATTTGCCCTGGTTGCGCAGGAAGGTGAACCAAAAAACTACTCAAGATTCTTCCCAAATCACACTTTCTATTACACTGTTACGGTCCATCAATAAAGTGTGTGACAACAAAAAATATTGATCCTTTTGGGAAACATATCTTCTCCTCCACAGTGTTCTCTGCTCTGGCAAGCATCACCATAGAGTGCAGCCATGTCGTCAGACGCCGAGATGGCAATCTTTGGGGAGGCGGCTCCTTACCTCCGAAAATCAGAGAAGGAGAGAATTGAGGCCCAGAACAAACCTTTTGATGCAAAGTCATCTGTCTTTGTGGTACATGCAAAGGAGTCCTTTGTGAAAGGGACAGTCACAAGCAGGGAATCAGGCAAAGTCACTGTCAAGACTGAAGGGGGAGAGGTGAGTCAAAAACAAGGTTGAAGGACATTCGATCCTAACTCTGAGCTTTTCAGTGACTTGTAGATCTTTTGTTTTCTTGCCAGACCCTGACCGTGAAAGAAGATCAAATCTTCTCCATGAACCCTCCCAAGTATGACAAAATCGAGGACATGGCCATGATGACCCACCTCCACGAACCCGCCGTGCTGTACAACCTCAAAGAGCGTTACGCAGCCTGGATGATCTACGTAAGTGGCAGCAGCAGCTTCCTTTGGGCAGCCTCAGGAGCTGCTGGGCCAGGCTCAGGGGAAGCCAACGTGCTGTGTCCCTTCCTCACAGACCTACTCGGGTCTCTTCTGCGTCACTGTCAACCCCTACAAGTGGCTGCCGGTGTACAACCCCGAGGTGGTGTTGGCCTACCGAGGCAAGAAGCGCCAGGAGGCCCCTCCACACATCTTCTCCATCTCTGACAACGCCTATCAGTTCATGCTCACTGGTGAGTGCCTCTGTCTGCCTCAGAGGCATTGGACCATTAAATTCTCTGAAGGGATACCCTATCTCAGCGAAAAACTTTTTCAAAGCTTTCTTGGCTCTGACACAATCTCCATGTCTGTTGTGGAGTTTACTTTCTTCATAGCATTGTTTCTACTGCTTTAAATGAAAGACACCTCTGCACTCAGTAATGTGTTTTAGAGGTTTGTTCCTAAAGTCAATCTGACATCAGGCAAAATCCTAAACTTGCCTATGTTTCATTTGTTCTCTGCTGTTCATTGAGTTTTAAGTACTGTATTTCTGCCTTGTTCACAGACCGGGAGAACCAGTCCATCCTGATCACGTACGTACACCCCCTGTGCGGGTCCCTGCGGGGCTCTCTGGTGCCAGGGCACCTCCTGCCTGACCACGCACCCTCTGCTTCTCTCTTGGCTTTGGCAGCGGAGAATCCGGTGCCGGGAAGACTGTGAACACAAAGCGTGTCATCCAGTACTTTGCAACAATTGCAGCCAGTGGAGAGAAGAAGAAGGAGGAAAAGTCATCAGGCAAAATGCAGGTGAGTCAGGAAGAACAGCCTGAACACTTGGCCTGGCATTGCCCTGCCAACTAAACACAGTCACTGAATAATTCCCCTGCAGGGAACGCTTGAGGATCAAATCATCAGCGCCAACCCACTGCTGGAGGCCTTTGGAAACGCCAAGACTGTGAGGAACGACAACTCCTCACGCTTTGTGAGTTCCTGATTAGAGAAGTTGTCATTTATATGGGAACAAGGATGTCAGAACATGCTGTCATTTCTGAAGTGTCAGTCAGATGACTGTATTCATTAAACTACTATTTTCCACGTATTTTTGCCAATTAAAGTAGACTAATTAAAAATACATCCTTAGAAATACAATACAGCATACAAAGGGGGATAATTTAAGTATGTTTTAATATCTATATAATTACATATCTATAAATATACATACACATTCTTAGTGTCTATCATATGTATTGAAGACAGAATTGTGTGGAAATAGATCTAATATAGAAGAAAGGAAAGTGGAGCATACAGGATAGAAATTGCAGGATGGAAATTTTGCTGGCCTTCATCAGACCAGCAAAAATATGAATCTCTGTGTTTTAGGCAGAAAACTGGGCAGGCGTATTGATCTGACTGTTCAGACCTCGATATAAGTGGTCTAGAAAGGAGTAGGGATGGGCTTCCTTCAATAGGTACTATCAGAAAACAAACTACTCTATGGCATATTCTTTTGATAATTTTAATGCAAAATGCCATTCATAAATTCTATTAGATTAACTGTGACTTTCCTTGAAAAATCACAGTACCAATCCACAGTCTCAGCCTAAAGCTCCTTGTTTTGGGTGTGTTGCTTCTATCTCTACAACTCAGACAGTAACAGCTGGCTTCTGTTTTCGACAAGACCAGAAATCATCATTTTACTTTTACGCCACCAAAATCTGCCTTCACAGCATGCTTTCTGATTAGAAAATGTTTTCACTATATCCACGAGTTTGAATTGCAACATAAGTGGCCCAATAAAATGCTTTATTAGTGGTCTTCTCATTCATGTGCATTCATGGTTATCCATTAAATAGTAGTGGATAATAAAGCTCAGATTTATCCATTTGTATTGGCAGTATAGAGATCTTCCTGAATTTGTTTTTGTCATGTTTTGCTTTGCAAAAGAAAAAATTAAAGTGAAACAACTTCTAAGTTTGAAGCCTGTCCTCAGTGGAAAATGTGAGGTCACATGCTTACAGTCATGGTGAAATTTTAAAATATCTTCTTTTCTTTCCCCTCTAAAAGGGCAAATTCATTCGAATCCACTTTGGGGCCACAGGCAAGCTGGCTTCTGCTGACATTGAAACTTGTAAGAGACCACCTGACCTGATCCCATTCCTTCCTCCCTTTCCACCTCAGTGTTATTTCTCAAGCCTGACCCTGTCCTACCATCTTTGCCAGATCTGCTGGAGAAGTCCAGAGTCACTTTCCAGCTCAAGGCAGAAAGGAGCTACCACATCTTTTATCAGATCATGTCCAACAAGAAGCCAGAGCTAATTGGTAGGAAGTATTGTGAATGGTTTGATAAAATCTGAATGTGTTTAACATTTATCTTCATCCTCACACCCAGATCCTATTCCTCTTTACAGACATGCTCCTCATCACCACTAACCCGTATGACTACCAATTTGTGAGTCAAGGTGAGATCACAGTTCCCAGCATTAACGACCAGGAGGAGCTGATAGCCACAGATGTGAGTGTCACAGAGCATACTGGTGTGGTGAAAGTTCCTTGTAATGGTCCAGAGGTTTATTTGACCGATTCTGTTGCCAGAGTGCCATTGACATCCTGGGTTTCACTGCCGATGAAAGAACAGCCATCTACAAGCTGACAGGGGCTGTCATGCACTACGGGAACCTGAAGTTCAAGCAGAAACAACGAGAGGAACAGGCAGAGCCTGATGGCACCGAAGGTATTAAAATCATATAGAAGTCCTAATAACAGAAGCAGTTACATAGCTGGAAGTTGACAATCAGGTATTTTCATTCCATTTACTTTCACAAATACATAAATCACACTTTCCAGATTATTCATGCTTCTAAATTTCCCTTCAAGATGCCACAAAATTTCAGTGCCGAGACCAACAGCTACATCTTAGAGGATACCCACTTTCAATTATCATTTCTCCTCTGTCACTTCCTCCCTCTCTCTTTGTGTTCAGTTGCTGACAAGGCTGCCTACCTGATGGGTCTGAACTCGGCAGACCTGCTCAAGGCCCTCTGCTACCCCCGAGTCAAGGTGGGGAATGAATACGTGACCAAGGGCCAAACTGTGCAGCAGGTAACAACAACCACTTGGTGACTGGGAACCTCTGACTTGAATCACTTCCTATTTGCTCTGGATATTGCATTTCTTCTGCTCCACTCTTCTTTGGCTTAGGTGTACAATGCTGTGGGTGCCCTGGCAAAGGCTGTCTATGAGAAGATGTTCCTGTGGATGGTTGT